AGTATTGCTTTTGTTTTTTTATCTTTCTTGTTTAGATCGAATCCATTTTTTACGACCCTCAATAACCTCAGCAACTGCAAACACGAACGGTTTCCGATAAGGGAAAATCAGGCAGCAATAAAGTGGGATTATTTATGATTTATTTGCGCGTATTCTTCTCTTTCTACCTCTCTCTGTGTGTCTCTTTCTGCGGGGAAAACTCATGCAGTGAACGTGCCACGCAGAGTAGAAAGCCACGTTCCCACGTCCTCTTGCTTCCTTCTCCTCCCCCAGAAACGCTGAGCTCTGGCACGCACACGCGCGCACACACACACACACGCCCGCACTCACGCGCAGCCAGCCGCATCCACAGCAGCGCCTCCCCGTTCTCCCCAGACGCACACGGGTCGCAGCAGCCGCGGGCCCGCGCGGGGTCTAGGCCACCAGGCCCGGCGCCGGCCGCTCGCCTGCACCCGCGCGGCCTCGCCTCCCGCACCGCGCGCTCCAAGATGGCAGCTGCGCGGCGCCCGCGTCCCCGCGTCCCCTGCAGGCCCACGGGCTGAGAGGGCCCGGCCGCAAGGCGCGCACGAGGTGCGGGAAGCCAGGCCCAGGCGGCGCGGCCTGCCCTCCCGCTGCCGACCGCAGCCTCACCTGACGTGAACAGCACGATGGCTTTGAGGCAGCTGTACTCGGCCGAGTCGACGTGCAGCGCCTTGAGCTTCTCCACCTGCTCCTGAAAGATGCGGATGTGGTCCATGAAGGCCACCACGCGGTCTGCGGACATGGGCGAGGCGTGCAGGCCAGCGGCGGCCAGCAGCGGCGCCACGTGCAGCGGCATGGAGCACTGGGCCGCGTTGAGCACGAACAGCTCGCTCCAGGTGAGGCGCAGCAGGGACACCTGGTCGGTGATCTGCAGATCCGGGAAGAAGGGGATGTTGCGGGCCCACTCGACGGCGCTGAAGAGCAGGCGCGCGGCCAGCTCGCAGATGTTCTCGATGCCCATGATGTTGTTGGGCTGCATGCACTGGCTGCCGTAGCGCGACGTGGGGTAGGGCTCGGCGCGCAGCAGCAGCGAGATGTAGCCAGACAGGTAGCAGTGGCCATTGAGGGGGTCCCCGTTGGTGAGTGCGTACTGGCCTGGATTGGGCTGGGTTGGAGGCATTCTTCCTCGCTGAACCGCTGACAAAAAGAGAGAGAGAAAAGAGGCAATGTGCATCCAGGGGCTTGCAGAGCACCGCCCGCCGCCGCCGCCGCCGCGCCCCCGACACAATGCACAGGCTCTTCCCGCAGCCACAGCGCCCGGCGCCTCGCGTCTTCCCGGAGGAGATCGGGGTGAGGCCCATCAGCCTCGCAGCCCGAGGTGGTCAGCCCCAGCCTGCACCCTGGCCACCTCCGCCCCAGCGGAACTCGGCCTGACTTCAGGGCCTCCAGCCCGGCCTGGTCCGGAAAGTGCCACCCGACCCCTCCACCACCAAGAAGGTACACACAGATCAGTGAACCACAGCCACCCCTCTAGAGTGTAACAAGTCAGGGTTAAAAAAAAAAGGCGGAACCTGAGAAAGGTTGCGGTTGGAGGCAAATGCCTAGCGGCCTCTTCATTTGCAAACAAGCAGCGTTTTGCACATAAAATGATTCCATATTCTCTAAAAACACTACAGATTTATCCTCAAAACAGATACAAGTCCCACTTCCTACTAACCACTTACAACTTTGGAGTAGAGAACAAGTACCCAGGAGCCCTCCCCTCTCCCCTCCTCCCCCGTCGCCCCATTCAAAGTTCTCACTATTAAAAGCAACAGAAAATGGAAAAATTGCAAGAAAAAAAGTTGAACTTACAGTAGCCAAACATTATTGAAAAAAGTGAGAAATATAATTAATGTCTGTCCTGCGTGGTATCACTGCAACCTGCAGTCAGCTTTTGCCCAGTGAGTGCACGCTTGCAACTGCAAAAACACTGGATTCATTAACCATCTGAATGCAAAACGTAAGCATGCTTTGAGTTCTTAAAGCTGACCAAAGTTTTTTTTTTTTTTTTTTAAATGTGTATGTTTTACTTCAACAGTGCCAGCGTTTTAAATTGCCATGTAAACAAAGACAACTTTAGGGAAAGTTAGGGCCTCTGAAATCTCCCCCCAACCAATTAATGTAGATATGTCCACGTCCACGTAGCTGTCTTACTTCAGGTTGTGCACTGTTTTCTTAAGTTTGCTTTGATTCTACTTTCAATGCAAGTACCAGAGCAATTTAAGCTCTTGAAACATAATGGCTAGAATACTTTTTTCTAATTATAGTTTTGAACTTGGCAGTTATTTTTCAATTAAATGAGAGCACAATTCAAAGTTTTCCTTTTTTTTTTTTTTTTCCCCCCAGATGCCTACAAAATCTCCCTGGAGCTGGAAATGAAGTCGTCATATTTGCCTGCTCCTTGAGATCTGAAGGAATTCAATTTCTTTTCTCGTGGCATAGAAAATATAATTTTAAAGTCAATTACAAGAAGGAGTAATCTGCACTCTGCAAATTTGACTGGTTCACTAATTTGACGATGAGACATCTTTAATGATTGTCAGGAGATAAACTTTAACTATAAACGGCTAAATATATTTATAAGAAAAGTGCTGCATCTCTTGCCACATGAACATGAAGCATATCCAAATACAACATCAAAATTTGTTAAAAAAAACAACAAACCCACACAACCCAGAGATTAAATGATGTGCGAGCCCATGCCAGCTGCAGTCTATGCATTATGGCCAAATCAGAAGCATCAGTAAATGCCGTTGTAAATTGTAATTTGTATGCAGTATTTAAGCAGAGGGTGGAGTCTGATGAAGAAATAAAATGAGTATCATGCTTTAAAAAAAATGACACTACTATGAAAGCGAGATTCAGTCACAAACTTTCCTTTCAAAGTAGAGGGGTGAAAACAAGGCCACAGCTCTGGAGGAGGCGGCCCCAGCTCCGTGGAGAGGAGAGGGAGCCAGTGAACGGGCCGGGAGGCCCCCTTCCCCCCTAATTAGACCTACAAGTGCAATAAATCTCACTCCTCTTTTTCCAAGCTAAGCTTGCAAAAGGATGATGGCAGCAATGAATCTAAGGTTCAGGGTACTCTAGCCCCCCCTCTCATTTTGAATAAAAGGTATGAAGAGGTGCAGGGGAAAGTGAAATGAAGAAACACGGAAAACAGTGTTCTTGGTGGGGGGAGGGAGCACCCATGCCCCAGTTCATGCCAGCACAGCCCCGAGCATCCTCACGCACACGCGGGAAAGAGACACACACCGAGCACAGCCCAGAGGGTTAGGAAGGCGATCTGCAGCCACAACTCACCCCAGGGACACAACCCTGAGCAGGCAGCGGCGGGGTGGGGAGTCGGGAGAGGAGCGCAGGCTGGGAGGGGGAGGCAGCGCAGCGAGCTGGGGGGGGGGGGCGCTGGGGAAGGAAGGCAGCGGGGACCTGGGAAGCAGGGACAGGCCGGGACCGCGGGAGCCCCAGCCCCACACAGCAGCCACCGAGGTGAGAGAGAAAGAAAGAGCCAGGGAGACGGGCGAAGCGCGGGGACAGAAGCAGAGAAGAAATATTCACCTTCCCGCCTCATGCCCACTTTGAGGCACTTCTTGAGGCGGCAGTACTGGCACTGGTTGCGGTGGTGCTGGTCGATGGGACAGTTCCTGTTGGCGCGGCACGTGTACGTTAAGTTCCTGCGGACACTCCTCTTGAAGAAACTTTTGCAGCCCTCGCAGGTGAACTGGCCGTAGTGCTTGCCGCTCGACTTGTCCCCGCACACCACGCACTCGATGTGCTGCTGGCTCTGGCCCGAGCCGGGCGGGCCCTGGCTCTTGTCCCCCGCCGTGCCGGGGGTGGCGGGCGCTCCGGGCTGGCCCGGGGTCTGCGGCGTGTGCGGCGCGCCCGAGCCCGCCTGCTGCTGCTGCTCGCCCGCGCCGCCGCCGCCGCGGGCCGCCTGCGCTGCGGGGTTGGGGCCGCCGGGGTTGCCC